AAATGAAAGTTGCCATCAGACTCTATTAAACATCAGGCCTTGGTACCCAGGGAGTCAGGTGTCACCCTAGGGGCTCAGCAATCTCTGGAACATTCTCAAACAAGATCTGATGCTCTGGACCTGATCTAATGAGACCTCAGTTATGGTGAGACTGAAACACAGAGTCGAGAGCAGACACCCAGAATTCCACATCCCCCTGCCTCCCTCATTGTGTGTTTGAAACAGTTTGTTCTGTCTTCTGCAGAGCAGAGAGCATGGTGAGAGAACTGCTTTCACTGCAGAACCAAAGTGGGTGTATGAAATCTGTTCCTCTCCCCCGGCTGCACATTCTAAGGAAGCTGAGTGCCAAAGGTGATCAAAGACTGATCTGTAGAATCTGAAAAGTACAGGCTGAGCCATGGCAGGAGGAGGAAAGTGCAGGAGAGGCTGCCTCTACCATCAAGGCAGTAAGCAGGAAGGATGTTCAGGGGCTTGAGAGAAAGGGCCATTTGGCATATCCAGTGCTAGGCCCTGGGAATGTGGCCAAATTTCCCATCACCTCCTGCCAGTCGATAAAATCACCTTAGAAAACCCATGACTAAATGTTAGTCTCTTCAGTGCCTCGCTATGCAATCATGTGTTGCAAATAATTCTCCGTTTCTGTCCCTCTGAGGCGTATGCAATGCCTGTGGTCCACAATGGGTTTTGAAGTTGAAGTTTCAGATGCAAAAGAGCTGAAAGTGTGCAAGGTAACTGCGTGAGTCCATGAAGGACAGCAGTGAGGCTTTCTCTCCAAAGCATGGATTCGTTACTACAAGGAAATACAGTTTCTCCTCTTTGTGCAAGAATGGGCTGATTTGCAGAGGATGGCGGGGATCTAAAACTAGCATGTCAGTGGATCTGGAGATAACAGTTTCTGAAATAGGATAAGGGTCCCCTTAGGTTTCTGGTGGTGTCCATGCGATCCATAGGACTGGAGATGTGAAAAGGAGCACCCAAACTGTCGGAGTCAGGCATGAATAGATGAGCCTCTTAATCCAACCAGTTCATTCCATCCTCACAGCAACCCCAAGGGATGATGGTCATTAATTCCATTTTATAGGTGAAGAAACTCAGACCCTAAGAGGTTAAGTGCTTACTCAGAGTCACATGGCTAGTTAGTGCAGAACCAGGACTTGAACTCAGGTCTGATAGACCTCAGAGGCCCATGATATTTCAGCTATACAGCTTGATTGGTGCACACAAAGTAGTAGGCTAGAGAGTCTGAACTTAATGTGGTAGGCCTAGGGTGCCATTGATGAGTGGCATGGGTAAAGAGATGCTTTAAGAATTTCAATCAGACAGCTGTGAACAGGATGAGTTGTTGAGATGCTCCAAGTCCACAGTGTGAATTACCTCTTTGTGGGGGATGGGGGTCCTGACCCTGACCAAATATAAACAATGGCTTGTATTTGCTGAGCACTTGACATGTGCTGGGTACTGCACTGGATGCTTTGACACAGGGAGATCATTTAATTCTTACAACTTGCTGAGGAAGTGCCATGATTGGCAACAGTATAGTGCAGGAGTGGAAAGCTTAGGATCTCAAAGGCAGACAAACCTGATTCATTACCTGTGAGACCCCAGAAAAGCCACTCTACCTCTGAGTCTGTTTCTTCATTTGTAAAATGGTTGTAATACTGGTACTAACTTAATAAGGTGGTTGGAAATGGCATTAAATGAGGTGGTACCTAGAAAGTATTGAGCAACATGACTCTCAGAGTATTTCTGGCACATTAACTACGATAAGTATTGCCATAGCCACATCCATTTTACAGGTGAGGAAACTGGGGCTTGGTAAGGTTGAGTAGTTTTTCCCAAAGCCACACAATTAAGATTGGAACTCGGCAGTCTGACTCCAGAAGTTACATTGTTATCCATCCTGGGTAGAGGCTATCAATGGGTAACAGGAGAGATTCAGCTTGGGCTGAAGCATTGCAAGATAGGGGAGTGGGGGTATCACAAGGCTAGGGTTTTGCACATGCTCTTTCACAGATGGCCAGGGCTAAGCTGGCTCTGGACTGATGAACTGCTGTCCCTATGATTATCTTTCTTTTTCATGAAGTTCACAATATAGCCATGCCCTCCTCTGTACATGGAAAGTCAGATAAGACTGAGATTGCTTATAGCTCTGCTCTGAGCACAAAGCTTGGATAAGCTGGTAACGTCTAGCTCATCGCCTATGGAGCAACGCTGTTGGAGGATGCCCAACTCATCAACAGCTAGGATGTTTGACCTCCACCTCTCCACCAATACCAAGGATCCCAAGGAAGTGTGTGTACGTGGGTTGTCTCATAGACCCTTTTTATTGGGTTCCAACTGTGCCCGTAGCATGTGTCCTGTTCAGAAATTTGTTCATTCCTTGTGCACTAAGTGCAAGAATATGCTAATTTGTTGCCTTTGCAGTCATAACTTATCTCTGGTGACTGGCTTCCTTACAGGCAATCATTGCTCCATGGAAATTATCAAATTTCTTTTGTAATTAAATTGAGAACACTTCACTCTCATCCCAAGAGACACCTGACAGTGTGAGGTTGATAAATGTAACTGCCTTTAGACTTTACTTCTGCGCCATCTTCTCTTGGTGGGATTTTTATGTTGTCACCTTTTTTGATACCAAATGAGGTTCAATGGACAAATGCTGAGGGTTATAGGACTTCTATATTCTCCTCCTTTTCAATAAAGGACACACTGAAATATATCTTGAGCGTTGGATGGAAGAGTGGTTCAGGGTAGGCAGGTGTGGGTGATGATGTTGAAAGTTTTATTTTGTTTTGTTTTGAACATAACGTTCATGACTCATACAAAATACAATCTCAGATACTGAATTCCCCCCTCCCCTTTCACTTTCTGTTTAAACCAAAGACACTCCCCTTTGGCTTCATTCACACATTCGTTCGGTCATACATTCCCTCATGATCCATTTATTGATGGGTCATGTGCTAAAACTTCTGCCAGGTTCTGGAGACAGAGATGAGGATGACATAATCGCTGCCCTTGAGGAGCTCACAGTCTTGCTGAGGTGTGATTTATAATGATTAATCCATTCAAGAATATTGGATTTCTCCAAAAGCTACTGTAGGGAAAAAGATAATTATCCAAAGTGTTTAAACCTGTTACCCACTTTAATTGATTTAATTAGATAAAATTCATAGAACTGTAATGTTGGAAGGGGCCCAGAAGGCATTTATTCCTGTTTTTTCTCTTTGCCTTCAGGCCATGCTACACTCAAATTATCCCCCAAACTCTTGCACTTCAGAAGAGCAGTGTGTCAAAGAACTACAGCCCATTCAGGTAAAACTTTGCATTCAGTGAACATCCTCAAGGTAAACAATGTAGACTTATTGAAAGAATTGACACTCATGGCTACAAAATATTGTTCTGAAAGACACATGCACACTTGAAATGGAATCCCCGTAAGTTATACTATTGAGGTTGTGTTAAAGGCACATAGTAAATACAGAATGCAAAATTAAAGTGGCTGCAATATAAAGACCCTTAGAGAATTTTTTCAGTTCCCAGAAAAAAAAATATTTCTCAGCATTTGTCAAATCCTGTTTTGCTGTAGCACAGAGACATACCTTCTGTTTAGCCGGCGTTTTTGCATCATGCCAGCCAGTCAACAACATGGTGGAAGCATCTGCTGTATGCATATCTTAAATGATCCCAAGAAGGCTTTGGTTGAGTGTCAGAAAAGGGGCTGGAGGTGGAGTCACAGGACCTAGGCACAGATGCGTACTTGCTGTGTGGCCAGTCTGAGCCTCACTTTCCCCTGTCAACAATACTAATTTCATAGGATTATTGTGGGGATTTTATGAGTTAAGGAATATGAAGTTAGTTTGTAAATTGTACAATGCATGCCTAACCTGCCTTTTATAAATGGAACTTTGTTTTTATGATCATAGATTTATGGAGATGTAAGGACTAATAGAAATCCTTTAACCCAGAACAAGTTACCACGTCACTTGCTAGTGTAAGAGCACTCAGTATGTCCCCCTTACACTCAGGATACAGTCTAAGCCTCTGGACAGAGTTCCTGAGGCCACTCATCGTGGGGTTCCTGCCAAGGTCGTCAACATCATTTCGTCCCCACTCCTTTGTGAACCACAATGCATTTATCCAGCATCCAAAATAGTCAAAACATATCCTCAGACTCCTCTGACTATAATGTCCACCCATTTCCCCTCTTCCTCACCTGAATACTCTTCCAGCATTCTCTTATGCCTCTCTCCGTCCCCAGTTCATAGAAGTTGCTCTTCTTCAAGTTCCCATCAGATCTGTGAAGGCAGAGACCTCATCTGTGTTTGTCTTTTCATTATTTCCCCAAGGTCTGAAATGGTGTTGACACATAGGCATTCAACAAATATTTGTTGGTTGAACAGGTAGATGTTCACGTAGCCTTTCTTATACTCTGTATTACATAGGAGTCTTAAGTTTAAGTTACAGAAACCCTATTCCAATTGGCTAACATGAACATGGGAACTTCTTGGTGCATATAACCTAGAGGTCCAGGGTAAATGGCTTCAGGCACAGCAGAGTCCAGGGACTCCAAGTATATCACCAGGAATCCATCTCTCTTTCTTGATACTGTTTTGTCTCTATGGCTTCATTTTTCAGTTGTGAGCATGGGGACCAGATAGAGTTTGTTCTATTGGAACCATATGGACTCAAAGGGGGAGGGATGGAATGAACTAGAGAAAAATGAGAATAGATGATGGCTGAGCAAAAATAATAGAGGTCCTTCCCTATACCTGGCAATGGGCCCTTGAGTACAGGGGCTTCTCTCATCTCTGTATGTCTAGTATCTCTTCCAGAGCCTGGTGTATAGTAGGTGCTCAGGAATGTCTGCAAATGAATAGATGTGTGATTTATTTTCTTTTGCTTCTAGGAAGGAGCTTCTTTAAGCCCATAAAGACAGATGGTTATATATAAACTGCCTTCTGCCTCATCCTCTCTTTTGCTCTTTTTTTACCTGTTGGCAGGATCCTACGTCTACCTTCTTCCAGTTTGGAGCGTCCATCCAGCAACAAGCCACGGTCATGCTGAAGATCATGCAGGACTATGACTGGCATGTCTTCTCGCTGGTGACCACCATCTTCCCTGGTTACAGGGACTTCATCAGCTTCATCAAGACCACAGTAGACAATAGCTTTGTGGGCTGGGACATGCAGAACGTGATCACGCTGGACACTTCCTTTGAGGATGCAAAGACCCAGGTCCAGTTGAAGAAGATCCACTCCTCCGTCATTTTGCTCTACTGTTCCAAAGATGAGGCCGTCCTCATCCTGAGTGAGGCCCGCTCCCTTGGCCTCACCGGGTATGATTTCTTCTGGATTGTCCCCAGTTTAGTGTCTGGGAACACGGAGCTCATCCCCAAAGAGTTTCCATCAGGACTTATTTCAGTCTCCTATGATGATTGGGACTACAGCCTGGAGGCGAGAGTGAGGGACGGTCTTGGGATTCTAGCTACTGCTGCGTCTTCCATGTTGGAGAGGTTCTCCTACATCCCCGAGGCCAAGGCCAGCTGCTATGGGCAGATGGAGAAACCAGAGGCCCCACTGCACACTCTGCACCAGTAAGAGAGGGCTCTTTGTCTTCCCAAGTGGGATCAGAGTGTTGTTGTTGTTGATGTTTGTTCGTATTCATACTCACTGATGAAAATATGCACTGAAAATGGAGAATGGTGTGTGTGTACTTACGAGATTTTTATTTTGTTTGACTCTGCTCTCCTCTCCCCTCTTTCTCTCTTCTCATCTCCTTTGTTTGTAAAAGAAGTAACATTGTACTTTGTTTTCTTCAACTTACATTTTCTTACTCCACAATGTATCTTGGAAACCTACATTTGGAATCTATCTGTCCATCTATCTATGATCTATCTATAGCTATATCTAACGTATATCTCAAGTATATCTATATTCTCTGTAACTCACAAAGATTTGAACCTAGACAAGTCTGACTCCAGAGTCCACATCGTGTTCCTCAAAATGGATATGCCATGACTTGTTTATCCAAACTCTATAGTGATATAAATTTAATTTTTCTCCTATTTTTTCCATTAGAAGCTAAACTGCAGTGATAATCATTTTACTTGACTCCTTATGCATACTTGTAAGTGCTTTTCTATGGTTGATTTTAAGAGTGGGATTTTGGGGTCATAACATGTACACATTTTAAAATTTAAGTATCTATTGCCAAATTGTCCTCCAAAGTAACTATACCAATTTACAGGCAAACCAACAGTTTGTGAAATTACCCAACTTTCCACATTCTCACCAACACATTACACTTTGGGAAAGCTGCCCACACTGGTGCCCCTGGTGTCTATTTGACTTTGTATCTGAATTTCTTTCCTTCTTATATCCTAAGTACTTTTTCATTGGAAATCTTGGCAAGCATCACTCTTAAAGCTGCATTATGTCCCATCATGTGGATGCACCCTAATTTATTTAAATACTCTCATCGTGGTGGACATTTAAGTTAAATTTTATGTTTCTGACAAGTGTCATTGTTCCTTGTGGCCCATCATTATGGTTCAGCTGTTGAGATTTAGAATTATCACTCCTACACCCAGGTTGCATGTTTTTGCCTGATGTTCACTGATTTTATCCACACTTCATTCCTCAGATAAAGAGCAGTGTAGTGCTGTGATTAAAGAACTAGGCTCTGGAGTTATACTTGTCTATGTTCAAATCTTGCCTCATTCACTTTTTGTATGACTTGGACCATTATTTTACCTTTCTGAGCTTTGGTGTTCATTGCAAAGTGGTGATAATAGCACCTATTTTCTAGGTAGTGGTTCTCAAACTTCAGGATACATATGAATCTCTGGGAAGACTTTTTAAAACACAAATTTCTGGGCCCCAAGCTCAGAGTTTCTAATACAGTAGTAGATCTGGGGTTGCCTGCTTCCCCCGCCCCCAGATTTGCAATTCTAACAAGTTCATCGGTGATGCTGATGTTGGTGGTCTGGGGACCATGCTTTGAGAACCAATGTTTTAGGGGTTGTGCATATTAAATGAGGTGATGCATAAAAATGCTGCTTAGCACAGTGCCTAGCATCTAATAATTATTTGATAAATCTTTAGAGTGATCAGTGAAGTTTTTCGTCATCAGAAATTACAGTCAGCAGACCTTGTTGGGTTATTGTCAGTGGAGTACTATATCACTCTAAAATGTCTCTGGATGGCTTTAGGACCTTGAATCTGCTACAGTTCAGAGGCTACCTCTGAACTGGGGCTCTGTGTGTGTGTGATGGAGTACACAGAGTATGCTTATTTACAAATACCATACATCTGAAAAATGAACCCTTGAATTAAGAAATCATGCTCCTTTGACATGTTCCTTTGACATGTTCCTTTCCCCTCTCCTCTTCCTCTCTATAATGATCCTATTTCTACATTGCCACTTTCAGCATTTTAAATAATTGTCCCAATACCAGGAAGGAACTGAGATAAATTAGCATGAGATAGGGAACCTCTTATGAAGGTGGGATTGCTGCCAGCCTGAAGACAAGGGCTGGGCTAATGAATTCTTACTCCCTATAATAAGATGTGCCTTGCAGCTGGAATATTCAGAAATGCATAATTTTGATGGAAACATAACTCAATTTTAGGGCAATTGAAATATAATATGTACAGGAAAGGGAATTTGAGATGGATAATTGGCAAGACACTTAGAGCCCTTTCCAGTGACCACCCCGGATTCTGTTCTTAAAAAAAAAAAAAAAGTGCTGCTGTGAAATGCTGTTGTGTCATTTCCAGAAGTTATGACTTTAAATGCAGCAATTTTGTAAATGGTATTTCAGCCCCAGAGAAGCAATACATCAAGTATGGTAAGTCATCATCTGCTGGGTGGTGTTTAATAAAACATGTCACCATCCATGGAGTGCTGGTGGTACCCACCCAGCGTGTGGGTTTGGATAACCACACCCGAAATCTCTCCTTGCCACACTTTTCCACCACCACAGTGTTCCTGACACCCACCCCAGGGAAGAGTGGAACCTGCCAGTCTGCGCTTGTCTGGAGTTGGAGAAAGGCCCAAAGAAGGCGGTTTAAGAAAAAGAAAGGAAAAAAAGGAGTAAAGGCACTATATCTTTCTATCCTCTTTCCATCATTCTATCCAGCAGACCCTGTGCTAGGTCCTGGAATGCACAGGTACATTAAGATACAACATCTGTCCTCAAAGACCATACAGTTTGGTGAGGATGTGGGAAATTTGTCTAAAGACAAACTCAGGTAACAAGAATTCCTTTTTTTTTAACACTGAAAGAAAAGAATAGTATAGAAAAGTTCAGAATCTGATCAAATATTCACCACCAAGAACAAAGGTTAATGTGTCATGTTTGTTTCAACATTATAAAAGAAATAAAACATTAATAATACTATAGACAGTCTAATTATACCTCTCGACAGTCCCACTTTTCTCCCCTTCTGTCCAAGGGAGGGAAAACAGTGATGAGTTGGGTATGTATAGTACATAGTGCAATAGTACATAGTACATAGTTCTTTTTAATGTACACAAATAGTATCTAATGTGTTAGAATTTCTTTTTCCCCAACCTTATGTTTCCAAGATTGCTCTATGAAGACAATATCATTCCAGCATATTCAACTTAGTTGCTGTTTTGTATTCTGTTGTATAAGTGTTCTGTCTTTTATGTAATATTCCCCTTTGATGAACATTTAGCTTGTTGACCATCGGGGATCTTCTTCAATCTGGATAGCTGAAGGCAGAAAACAGAGATGCCTGCAACCTGAGTTAGACCGTCAGCTTGTTCAATGGAAACCCAGGACTCTAGAGTTAGGGGTTTCTCACTTCCTACTTTATAACATCATCTTCATCTGGGTAAAAAAAAAGCCTTACTTTGCAAGCCATGTGGTAAATAAATATCTCTCATTATTCCACCTATGTAGTAGGGAAAATGCAAATAGCTTCAGAAGAGGTTCAGATGAATTCATACCTAATGGTTTCATGATAAGTTATTGAGGAGATCCAAGCTCTACCTTTGCCTGGTTGTAAACACCACCTCGGGGTTAGTTAGACGTATCACTTGGTGGTCCTCATGGACATTAGTCACGGTCTTACACAGAGCTTGCGCAGTTAGGGTGTTGTAGCAATGACTTAGTGCTCATGGGGTCTAGTGTGTACTAGAGACCGTTTCCCAGGAATGGTGTGTTCATGATCTTATCATGGGCCTGTTTTTGCCCCTGGGCTTTCAGGAAAAAAACAGTAGGGGATAGGGAGAAGTTATGTTTAATATTCCTGGTTTTACAGAAGACACTTTGAAAAGAGCAGTCAGCATTTTCTAAATTTCGAAAATAGCTCAGCCATGTTATGTAACCACCTTCTTGCTACTGCAAAGTTATTAAACATCTGTTCCTTCACCAAGCACAGAGCACATCACTGGTAACTCCCAGAATAGTAAAGGTAAACCATTACCTGTGTTGTTGGTGTGGAACCTAGGCTGTTCTGTCCAGTTCTGTCCCAAGATTCTGTCCAGTTCATTAGGGATGGGGTCCCCTGAGAGGCAGTATGGCACTAGAACCAGGCTGCCTGGGTTCAAATCCCTGATCTGCACTTTTCTAGATCCAAGACTCTGGCTGAGTCACTTAACTCCTTCATGTCTGCTCCCTCAAGTGTAATATGTGGATAAGAAAAGTATTTGCCTCTGAGGACAATGCCTGGCATATATTAAAGCAACACATAAATGGTTATTATTTTTGATAAAACTTGTAGATATACAATTAGGAGTGAAATAAGTATATCTGTATGCAATAGCCCATGATACTACCATTTTTTCATTCCACAAAAATGTATTTAGTGCTGTCTGCATGGCAGGCACCAGCTATCTGTAGGTGGAGAGACACAGAAAGACCACCATATGAATGTCGGGTAAGGCATGACTGCCATTTGTCTCTTGTCTGCTCTGAGGTTTGGGGGCCAGTGGTATATCCCACAGTAGAGGCCCAGCTTACCAGGTTGAAGGTATAGGAGAAAAGAAAATACCCTAATGGTAAAGCACAGCACCTAAGGAGAAGAAGAGCGGAATCTTGGATGACTCAATGCTCTATAAATATTTTCCAAGCTTCCTTTTGGTGGCATTTAGTCTTTCCTCTGGTGCTTAAAGCTCTAGCCATTAATGTATACATTTGCACTTGGTTTAAACATATAGACCCAGGGGCCAGCCCGGTGGTGCACTGCTACAGTGTGCCGCTTGGGAGCGCGGCGGCGCTCCCGCCGAGGGTTCGGATCCCACATACAGACCGGTTCCCGCTCACTGGCTGAGCGAGGTGCGGGCGCAACACCGAGGGTTGCGATCCCGTTGCCGGTCCGGTCTGGTAGAGGCACGACACTGAGGGTTGCGATCCGTTGCCGGACACGAAAAAAAAAAAAAAAAAAAGACAAAAAGGAAAAAAAAAAACATATAGACCCAGATGAAGTTCATACCACATTTTAGGACTGTGATTGTGTACATGTTTGCGTTTTTCATCTTCCACATTGAAGGGGACACATTTTACATTTATTGAGAAGGAGGTCATAGAAGGGAGAAGGTGGATGTTTTTCAGACTTAAAATCT